CAAGTTACCTCGAACACAAACTTGATGAATGTTGATGATGAAAGCGACAAACAACTAAGGATATGAAGAACAATATTATGAAAGCTTTTTGGGTGAATGAAGGTGGAACTTTACGTTTGTGTCTTTCTTTTCGAAATATGTCATAAACTTTCTTTAATCTTTCAATTTGGTGAATTAAGCTTAAAATATTTACATTTTGTGGATAAATAAATAACCTCTAAGTAAGGGTGTTCATCGATGATTAACCGCACCGAAAACATATTTCGGAAGGTTAATCGAGACTATCGGTTCGTTTATTTCTTGAACCTAAACCTAAACAGAAAAATCAGGCTAACCGGTATTCGGTTAACCGATTTTTTCGGTTCGGTTATTCGGTTAACCAATTAACCATTACTAATTAATAAAAATATGTTAACGTTATTGAACCCATAAGAAATTTCCTAAAAAAGAATGAATTGAAATTAATAATCAATAATAATTTGTTTAATTATATTGTTGCTTCTATTAATAATGAAACTTAGATGAATTATCAAATATTCGTTAAATAGGGAATATAACATCGACTAATACAAAAACGTATTTTTTAGTTAATAGGTAAAAGATAGTAAAATACTTGGTTATTTATGTGAAATGGTGATGAAATGCAAATTACAATTTTAATCTATATCAACCTATGCGTATTTATAACAAATGTTAATTATGACAATTATTGGTTTAAAATAACAAATGTAAATAATATGACAAATATTAATTGTAATTTGAAATTTCTAAGAAACAATTTGGTAATAGCTTAAACATATAAACATAAATAATATTTTAAGAAATAGAAAATAAATTTTCGGTTAACCGTCTGTAGCAAAAAACATGAAGCGTAACCGAACCGAAAAACGAAGATTTTTTTGGTTCGGTTAACCAAACCGAAAAAGTCATAAATTCCGGTTGGGTAAACCTAAAAATCAATAAGATTTTTAGATTTTTAGGTTCGAGTTTTTGATTTTCAGATATTTTCAAAGGAAAATTTGTGAAATGACCAAAAAAGCGGGGGTGTTTAAAAAAAAATGACCAAGAAAATGGATGTTTCAAAAAATGACGACGAGTTCCGCACAGAGGGTCTCTGCGGAACTCCTTCAGCTTTGAGGAATTAGAAAAGCTATGAGGAAGTGGTGTGGCACGGTGGCAGGGGTAAATTCGTAAAAACACAAAAAAGAAACAAAAAAACTTAACAAATTTGAAAAAATTGTCTTATAAACGTAGTTTTATAGTTCAATTTGTTATGTTGAATCAATGGTACGTGAGAAAATGGTGAAACCTCGCTAAATTAACAAGAAACACTTACAAAATTGTTTTTTAGCCATGGTTATGCGGAGAATAATTCCTGAGAGACATGTGTTTGAAGAACAATTCATCAGAGGGACTCTGAGGAATTGTTCTTCGTATAACCATGACCAAAAAACGATTTTGGGAAGTTTTTTCGATTTCAAACATAATTTTTTTAAACGATTTCAAACACAATTTATTCGATTTTAGTCAGTTCAAACATAATTTTTTTCGATTTCAAACACAATTTCTTCGCATCACCCTTTCAATTTTGTTAAGGCTTTTTTTGTGTGTTTTACGAATTTACCCCGACCACGTCATTTCCTTAGAGCTTTTCAATTCCTCTAAAGAAGTTCCACAAAGACCCTCAATTCAGAACTGATGGTTATTTTCTAAAACATCAATTTTCTTGATATTTTTTCAAACACCTCCGATTTTTTTGTTATTTCACAAGTTTACCTCTAAGGATGGAGGGAGTGGTGCTACCGAAACCGCACTCTCTCCCCCGCCACATAAGCGTCACGTCATTTTTTACCACACAAGTGTGGTTTCTTGCCACACCAAGGGAGTGGTGCCACACTTTTATTTATTTATTTATTTTTTTGTTTTTTTAGCTATTTTAATTAAAACTTATTTTTTAATAAAAAAAACATAAATTTTCATTACTTATTAAAAAAAACATTACATTAAAAATTCAAAAAACATTACATCGCATTACAAAAAAAAAAAAAAAAAAAAACCACACACAAATGACATTAAAATAATCCTAGAAACTTAAAAAACGCAAATAAAATAGCTAAAGCAAACTACATAAAGTCGTTATCCGAGAACTCGTCTCCGGAGTCATCCGGTGGATTCAAATTAAGGTTAATGTTTTGAACCCCGTAAATGTGTTCCACCAAGTCATTGCGAAGATTGTGAAATGTTTCAGTGCAATGTATCTCTGCTCTCCTGTTCATATACTATTCGCCACCAATTTCTATTGGTTGTGTCTCTGGTATGGTTTCTTCCTCGTCAAACGCACATATCGCTCTTCTTTCGTCCTCAATAATCATGTTATGCAATATGAGACATGAATACATGATTTTTTGAAGTTTTTCCTCGCCTAAATAACTTGCTGGTTTTTTCAATATGAACCACCTTTTCTTCAGAACTCAAAAAGCACGCTCAACATCCTTCCTAGCTCTTTCTTGAGCTCTCTTGAATTTATTTCGTCTAGAACCATGTGGACACGTAAACGATTTAACAAACACAACATACTCAGGATAGATTCCATCAACCAGATAATAACCATACTTATATGGCGTTCGACGCACTTCAAAAGAAGACTCTGGTGCGGATCCATCGTATATGTTGTTAAATATATGTGAACGATTAAGAACGTTGATGTCGTTAATCGAACCAGGAGAACCAAAAAAAGCATGCCAAATCCACATAGCTTGTGATGCAACTGCTTCAAGTATGACCGTTGGGTGACCATGATCACCTCGGGTAAATTGCCCATGATATGACGTAGGATAATTTTCTCATGCCCAATGGAGACAATCTAAGCTTCCTAGCATTCCAGGAAACCCATGCACATTAGCATGATGAGCTTGCAATTGCAGGATGTCATTACGTGTAGGCTTACGTCAATATTTTGGACCATAAAACTGAATCACAGTTTTGCAGAAAAAGTGGAGACTGTCTCGTGCGATCCTAGCAGACATCCTAAAACTTTCGTCTAACGCATCAGGCGGAATGCCATATGCTAACTGACGAAGTACGGCCGTGCATTTTTGTAAGGGAGTGAAACTGGGTGTACCTCTAACATCGTAGCGTTGTTGAAAAAAACTGCACTCTCTCGTTACATCTTCAACTATACGTTCGTATAAACCTTTGAACATTCTGAAGTGCCTAAGAAAATAATACCCTTGAAAAGTGGCATTCTCTTCAAAATAGTCTTGCACCAAACGTTGGTTGGCTTCTTCACGATTTCTGGAAATATATCTTCGTGTTCTCCGTTGAGAAGTAGCAGCCGCGTTGTTGCATACAGCATTGTACGTTTGTTCCGCCATTTGAACACACGCAACATCGGTATCAAAAATAGTCTGAAATTCTTCAGAAGATGAAGAAGATGACATTTTTGAGAGAGGTGATTTTTTTTAAAAAATTTTGAAAGAGAGAAGAGATTGTATTGTGGTTAAAAACAAATGAAGTGGATATGTATATATAGGAAATAAAGGCAAAAAGAAAAAAAAAATTACGCCAAAACCTACATTCAACGGTCAAATATCCATCTACCAATCACGTGACACGGTACAAACTAGCCGCAGTGCGGCCAAAACCGCGCAAGACCGCGGTCTGAGGGCGGTGTGCGCGGTCCAGGTGGCACGAACCGCGGTCCCAGGCAGGGACAGTTCTATTTCTGTATGCAGTGTAAATTTTTTGATATTTTTCGATTTTTTTTTCTTTTTTCTACATACCGGCAACACCTACTACGGACCGACAACACCTACTACCAAATCCTGCGTCCGTCCCTGGTCCAGGCCGCAGCCACACCGTATAGTCTAAGTCTAGACTATCTAGACAATGCACCAACATGCCTCTGCCGGCGGAGACTGATTATATTATTGTGTCGCATGTGCGGAAAAAATAATATTTATGCATGAGTGGTGGTCATTACCAAGAATTGCATTACATCAAAATCAATTCGACCATTCATTTTTCCATCTATTGCATTTTCAACCCCCTATAGTTAACCGACTTTTTATCTATTGATATTATTGAATGTTATTTTTAGGAAGAAAAAAAAAAGAGATTCTAATTTGTTATCCTGTTTATCTTACAATGCTACGGTGGGGCGAGAAAAATGAGAAAACGAACTAAGAACATAATTCAGATTTTACCAAATGTTATAATCTTATTATTATATGGTTAAATATGCCGACTGGTTAAAAAAATTCATCTTTTTATTGAAATATGACAGATTCTCATTAATTTTCAATCGACATTTAGATTTTGGTTATATCTGCTAGTTATTTAAATAGAGTAATAATTTCATTAAGTTATAAATAAAATCAAAAGTTGCATTTATCTCGAAACATAAGAAAACGTTTAATGATTGATTTAGAGAAATAACTTACATAACTATAATCGTTCATGCATGTGTAACTTAAACAAAGTATTTAATTCATCATCCTGAAAATTTTCAAAATACCTTTCTTTTGTATAATAATCACAAATTTTTTTTGTACACTAGAAGTATAATATAAATACCACTCATAAATAATAACCACACGTCAAAAACTGTAATATATTATTGAATTAGTATATTCGATTTCATGGCAAACGAATTTTTGTGTTTATAAATGTATAAACAAATATTTTTAGGAAAATGTGTAGTAGTGTATAACTATATATTATGACATAAGTAACTATTATTATTATTATTATTATTATTATTATTATTTATATAATTATATCATATTACTCTTTAAAAATTTCTAGTTTTATTAAGCGACAAAGTTTTTGAATTTTGACAAAATTATGATTGCAACCAAAAAGAATGCAAGGGTTAACATGTAATACTCGAGAAACCAAAGGTGAAAGTTTAGTACATCTCCATACTACAGGGACTTTTCAGCAATTCATCTGAAAGCATACTACAAATACCCTGAACCAGAAGACGAAGCTGCTGATAACGTCGTTAACAGAATCCTTACCAGTTCTCAAATAGTCATATCTTAATCGGAGCAAAAAGATGGCCGGAATAGTTGTTCTTTTACCGAAGGATTTCGGCTATATCATTCTCACCATTATCGCCTACTGTTTCGTCAACCTGTATATGCAGCTTCAAGTCAACAAAGCTCGAAAGAAGTAATATTTCCATACAAACACTCTTTCCCTTTGATTCTAATTGCCCCAATTTGAAATTTAATAAATTTTCCAATGAAGGTATCATGTGTCATACCCAGCACTCTACGCCACTGAAGCTGATACCAAGGATTATAAACTCTTCAACTGTATTCAGGTTTGTACAGATCGCTTGCTGATTTGTGAAAAATACACCATCTTTCTTCGATTCGTTTAAGGGATGTTGAGGATTCTGAATTTTGTTTGTTTGATTACAGAGAGGGCATCAGAACTCGCTCGAATCCCTTCCGATCTTCTTTGTTTTGATGGTTTTGGGCGGGTTTAAACACCCACTTATATGTTCGTGTCTGGGATTAGTTTACACAATTACTCGGTTTTTCTATTTAAAGGGTTACTCCTCCGGTGATCCTAAGGGACGTCTCCCGATTGGGTATGTGAATTCTACTGATAAACCCATGTCTGTTTGCTTTGTACTTTGAACTGTGATTTGAGGATATGCAGATACGATTTCATCTAAATTAACGATTTTGTAAGGAATGATGATGGATCTGTTTTCTCTTTCGTTTGCTTGTTCTGTTTGCAGGGGATTCAACGGTATTGCATTACTGGGGCTTGTGATAGTCAATATTACGTTCGGGGTAAGTCTTCTCAGGGCATAAATCACAAGAATCATGAACAATCAAGAAAGAAAGCAGATTCTTTGGGGGACCCATTGTTTTTCGTGGTAGTTGTCTAGTTGATAAGAGGAAGAAGCAGTTTCATTTGAGAAAAAAATGATGGTTTTCTTTGTGGCACGAGAATCGTGATAAGGGTATATTAGTCTTTTTCTAAACTCGATCATGAAACCATAATTGAAACAAATCCAAACCACAAGAACTTTCCAAATGAAAAACGAAAGAGTTATGGAACAAATGCATAGATTACTCTAAACCATAAGGACCATTTATATAGTTTACTTTAAAATCTAAGTGATAAGCCGAAATGATCAATGGTTAGAAGGTCTTTTGAGAGATCGAAAAAGAAATGGTAAACGCATCATTTGAGTTGTCCACTTCAAAATACGTCCCATGACTCACGCGAGAGAAGTCAATTGCAGAACACCAACAGTATTTTGAACGTGTTAGTATTTGAATTCTTTAAACCCTGGAGCTCTTATATGAAATTTCACTCCTCAACCATTACACTTCCGTTACGTTGACAAATTTAAATAACGAAGGGCATGGAAAATATGGAAGCTTAGGAAAAAACGGAGTAACCCTCAAAAAATTTCTATTATGGATTTTTTTAGAAGAAAATTATAAGAACTAAAAAGAAAGTTTTGGCAATTGTTTCCGATATTTCCTCTTAAACAAGAAAATATAGGGTCATAAGCAATGTTGACTCGATATTGCGATCCCCACATCCACCAAGGTGACAACATCAATAGTTAGACTTGGAAAAAAGGAAAGAAAAGTATCAAAAAATCTATAACTATGCAAACTATCCGTACACGTACTAGTTTCAAATGATGAAAGAGAGTCTTCTTCTTGCTACCACAATATTTCTTTCAAATAAAATCAACATCAATTTTCGGTATAACGAATTTTGTTAGAATTTTGTATTGAATCTTTCTATTGCTTGTGTTTTTTGTTCATCAATTTTAGACGATGTTGTGTTTGGGGAAAATATGCATGATATGCACATTCTTGATAGTGTTGGGAATTACAATCGGGTTGTTGTTCGGTTTTGGCGTATTCACTGATGGATTTCATAAGATCAAGAACGTGTTTCATTATTCTCAATCTCATTCATATTCGCATGTTGTTTATGGAAGGTCTTTTCGCTCCCCTCCCCCGTTCTAATCTAAATTGTCATCAACGAAAAGTTGTTTAGAATATATGAATCCGGTTCAAAATTTTGGGTATTTGTTTTGGGAACGGATTCATATATTGTCTTTTTTAATATAGATACTCCATGTATTCGGAAATGTGAATTATATATTTTGAAGTATCTAATTTCAGTTTGTAATTATTAGAATATTTGAGTGAAATAGTCAGAAACACTTAATGGAAGTACATGTATAATGATCTTTCTTTATATGTGTTTCAAGTATCAAATAAATAAATAAGTTTGTTCATACCTATTGGCTTGTATTCCCATAAAATGACGAGTAAATATCATCAAATGGTGTTGACTGTTGAGTGAAATACAAAGTACATAAAACTGGTAAGTGATTAGATTGTTTATAAAATATGTACATTGAAATTTTGGTATATGGAAATCCGGATACTCAAATTAGTATCCAAAAATTTCAATACTAATTTGGATGTCAAGATTCAGTATCACAAATTTTAATATATCTACTGTACTCAATGTCATAAATTTCCAATATTAGTTTGGATATCAAAATTCGATATTAAAATTTTCATATGTCTAATATAGTCAAAATGGTTATAATCTATCGCAGGACTTGTCATGGTAGTTGATATAACAAGGTGGGAGAGAGAGTTTAATTAGATATCAATCGAATGCCATTTCAAAAAACTATGATCTACCCGAGGTTGTTATTTGCAAATAGAATTGAATTAGGCGTGCTAGCTGGCCTAGAAACATGATCATTGCGACAAGTCAACACAATTCTGCTTAACTTTAATATGATATAGATGTTTTGTGTAAAAAATGAATATTTTTGTTACAAAAAGTACAATGAAGTAAGGTTTTAATTCAATAGTAATTACATAAACGTACGCTATTTTTTATTTTGATCCATAAATTTTCTTCATACCCTATATTTTCATTAAACTATACATCAAATCAAACACTACAATTATTTTTTAAAAGCATAAGGAATTATCAAATCAAAAATAAATCTAAAGAACAACATACCAACCTTAATACATGCAAAGTTGAACAATTATCTCATTCATAGCAAATAGATCATGTTCATTAATATTTTATATTAGAAAAAACATCATAAATGGTCCCTGTGGTTACCCAAAATATGAAGTTTAGTCCCTGTGGTTTAAAAACATCATAGATGGTCCTTGTGCTTTCAAAACTTTTGACAATTGGTCCTTATTGCTAACTCCGTTAAGTTTTGTCCGTTAACTGAAGTGCATTTTCGTCATTTCACTACCACAGAGACCATTTATAATATTTTCTCTTATTTAAAAAAATATATATATATGTGCAAATGGGTCTCTCTCTCTCTCATGGTGGAAGAACCGAAGGTGCTGTTTTTCAATAATCACCACGAGGAGAAGCTTCTTCTTCTCTTCTTCTTGTCGAGGCTCAAAAACCAAACACCCCACCTGCTATGCTATTTTAGATCTGCTTCACCCTCCCCTATTCTTCGCGTTTTCTGCTGGACAGAAGAGAGACAACCGAGAGCTGTCAAAGCAGCCCTCGCTGCCAAAGCAATCGACCACAGTCCTACTGTCGCTTTCATTTTCTTCCTTCCTCGAGCAACCAAAGCACCGATGGTGCACTCCTTGATCGATGAATGTTGCTGCTGCTTTTCTTCGGTTGGGTCTTCGTCTTATCAAAATTGATTACTTTTTCCTAAATGGGTCTTCGTCTTATCAAATTAAAACATGCATTGTTGGCGATTTGAAGCTACTTATCATGGATCTGGAAATTGGGTCTCGTCAAAATCATATAAGGGTAAGATCAGTATGTTTATATGCTACAATTTGTTGATGTAGGGGTTCTTCGAATACACCCATTGGAATTTTTGTGTTGTTTTCTTCTTCTGATTTTTACAGAAACAGTCATGGAGGGCAATTTGGACATTGGTGTATCAAAGTTTGGGTGTTGTTTATGGAGATTTAAGCACATCACCATTATATGTGTTAAAAGCACTTTTGCAGAAGATATTAAGCACTCAGAAACTAATGAAGAAATATTTGAGGTCCTTTCTTTCATTTTCTGGACTCTTACTTTAGTCCCTTTGTTGAAATATGTGTGCATTATGCTCAAAGCTAATGATAATGGTGAAGCAGGCACATTTCCTCTGTATTCGTTGCTTTGTAGATATGTTAGAGTGAGCTCATTGCCTAATTGTCAATTAGCTGATGAAGAACTTTCAAACTACAAAAAGGAAATACCTAATTTAACCGTGAGTTCTTTTGGGTCAAGACTTAAATCTACTTTGGAAAACATGGAGTTTTGCAGAAGTTTTTGCTTGTGTTGGCTCTTGTTGGAGCTTGTATGGTCATTGGAGAGAGAGGGAGAGAGAAAGAGAGAGAGTGAGAGAGAGAGTTGAGAGATGACCTTTTACATATTATATATATATATATATATATATATATATATATATATATATATAAATCAGAAAAACATCATAAATGGTCCCTGTGGTAGTGAAATGACGAAAATACCCTTCAGTTAACAGACAAAACTTAACGGAGTTAGCAATAAGGACGAATCGTCAAAAGTTTTGAAAGCGCAAGGAGCATCTATGAGGTTTTTAAACCACGGGGACTAAACTTCAGATTTTGGATAACCACAGGGACCATTTATAATGTTTTTTCTTTATATTATTATGATTCTACAAGTGAAAAATTATCTCAATCACACTACAATCACATTCTAAAACAAGGTTTCAGTAGGATCTTAAAGTAGGATCTTAAGATCCCGACTAAATCGTAAGTAGATTTGTCATCACCTATTTAGTCTTTATTCTCAGGTTTTTAGTATTTTGAATCTTACGCAATTCTTTATTTCTACTAAATCCAATGCATAGTCTAAAAAGTTTTCCAATCAGATCAAATCAAACTTCAAAAATTTATCCATTCAACTCGAAATCGAGCATTACAGATCATCAGAAGCCTGATAGAGTAGCAAAACTTCATCTATTAAGAGCACAATGACATGCATGCCATTTCCTTTATGTTCTTGTTCATTTAGTTGCAAATGATCACAATGATATTGTTTCTTTTCGCGATTAAGATGTTTTGTGTCTAATTATGACGATTTTCATGATTATATCTATAAAAATTATTGTTACTGTCTAAGATATTAAATTTGATTTTCCCACCGATGCCTTAAGCAACATCAAGTTATAATCGCAAACGCAAAAACAATACATTACAGTCAAATTTGAAGACTAATTCATGTTCATATAACATTTTGATTTGGATCCACTCCTACTATTACGATTTTACAAAATACAAAATGATCATAGATAAAATCTCAATCTTGACAACCTTAATATAAATTATCTCATATTATTTCTTTGGGGGTGAGTCTTACCATGGCGTAAATCACTAGAATCATGAATAAAACCATGTCCTTTGGTTACCGTTTGTGTGTGGTTTGTGTGTGTGTGATTGACTCTCCAATTGCCCACATTCACTATACGATACGAGATACAAGGTTATTCCAGTTGCAATGTCAAGGCGTTTAAGGAAGGGAAGATAGATCACAATACTTCTTTAAGTTGTAGCATGTAATTTGTAAATTGTAATACAAAAAAAGTGTTTTTGAAATGGATAGTTCCAAGAGCTTTCTATAAGTATAAATTGCAAATATACCATAATAGTAACCATCTTATTTTTAAGCCCAACCTTTGTAGTATTTTTCTTACCTAAAAATACAACGTTTAGTTCATTACATTAGGGAGTCTTTAACTTTTTAATTAAAATAAAAAAAAGTAAATTATATAAATCTGCACGTGTCAACTCTATCTTCTTTTTTTTCACGTGGACCATCATTATAGTAACCAAACATAAAATGACTATATTGCTCGTGCATTTACCTATCTATATTTTTATTATTGTATTTTATATTTGTTATATGATAACTATTATTAAACTGTTTAAAACTCATATTTACCCCTCCCAACATTCAAAATTATCGTCCACCACAAAAAGCTTGTAACAACACGATTTCCAAATTCACACCATAAAAGTTCTTCATTTTAAGGTCATAATACATATACGTAAACAACTATTTCATTGATGCCAAGATCAAATTTACAACAAAACATCCAGGAGCATCCATTACAAGACATATAATAACCTATTTAGAGTACTTGATTTAGTATTCTTAGTCCCAAAGTACTTACATGATAACCCAAAAGATTTGCAAAAGTGGTGAACATAAGTTTATACAAAATGAACACTTAGTATTCTTGTTAGAAGCTTAAGCTAGCTCTTTACCCTTAGCAGAGCTTGTACCTGAAATTTATCATGAATTTAACAAACTATAAGATTTGAAGCTTAATGAGTAACCTATAAGAGTTTTGATGATTTGGAACTTGTTATATTGTCCATAAAAAGGATAATTACACTTTGGGGTTTTGGGGGAAAGGAGCCAATAGTTAAAAGTAATTGAATAGATTATATAAATCTTCAATTTTACCTTCATTTCATAGTTGAAAATTAAATAGAAGACTTGTGATTATGAGAAATTGGGTCAAAATCATTCAATGTTCAATTACATTTACATAATATAAATCATGGCTAACAAAAACCTGAATTTCAAATAGAATCTATTTTAGCAGACAAGTTCCATGAATATCGACAAGAATATCAACAGGATTCTAAAGGAGAGGATTTGTGCGAATAACATACCTTATCTTTTGGAAGAAACCCAAGCACCATTAATCCAGTTTTGATGAACCCTTAAAAAGCCCAAGGGGAAAGCAATCTCCTCCTTTGTATTTTCAAAATGCACAAAGTAATTCGACCTTATTTTCCCGCTGATCTTTCCGACCCACCACCCATCCTTCTCGTAGGCGTCAACAGCGTCGCCCAACGAAAATCCAGTTACCGGAATCTGTGGAGGAAGCGGCTGGATTTGATCGGCGGAGACCACCTCTCTCAAGGGCCCAAAACCGTCTTCTTTCAGGAGAGTTCTGTACTGGATAATGTACTCTTTCTTGGAAAGCCTAGCGATGATGTTTGCTGTGTAGTATGAACCCTCGAACCCCTTTTCGTTGCTTGAAATTTCGACTCTGTCACCTCTTTGAAACGCCATTGTTGTCGACGATGATGATGCTTTTTTCTTCATATCAACAGAAAGTTTCTGGGGTTTCGTTACTGAAAATTGAAAGGAATGCTTAAAAATCAAAACATGATCATGAGCTACAGCCTACAATAAATTGAAGAGAACAGATAAAATTTTATCTTGACGAACATTTGAACTAGAAAAAAGAACAGCGAGGACGTTTCTCTTGATCGATCTTGGTGACAATCCCCAGAAAAGCAAAATATCCCTAAAACTGAAGATACACGATTTGTAGTAATCCAAAAAAATTAAACATAAAATAAAAGGTCGTCGGTGACCGCGATGCGGTTCGGTACGGTTATTGGTCAAAACCTCACCATTAACCGCAAATGCGGTTAATTCATTTTCAAAACCACTTGATGCGGTTATTTTTGCGGTGCGGTTAGGCAGTTATTTTTGTGGTGCGGTTTTGTTTTTTTGTGTTTCGGTTATTAACCACATTGATTTGATGCGGTTATTTTGTGTGGTTTTTAACCACAGTTTAAATTTCAAACGGTTTTAAGAGTTCAAACATATTACTTGTAACAATAAAAAATCATAATGTATAAGACAATTAACTTAAATAAAAAACAAATAATATCTTAAAAACATTAAATCAATAGTAATTAATAATAAATATCTTAAAATTGTAAAATTTCATAATTTTTCAAAGTTAAACATAACAAATAACAAACACTTTTGTCTTATACTATTTTATCATTGATGAAACTTGTCTTATTTTTAATATTTAATATATTAATAATTAATAAAAAATAATATAAAATATATGCGGTGCGGTGCGGTTTTTTTGCGGTTTTTGAAAACTAATAACCGCACCGCACCGTAAATTTGCGGTTTTTAAAAAACAGAAAACTTCACCATCGGTTTTTATTGCGGTTGCGGTTTATGCGATTTTTACGGTTAATTTTAGTTGCGGTGCGGCTTTTGCTCGCCCTTAATAATCTTATATGCCTCTTGACCAAACTAGAGAATATCCGGATGATTTCTTATACGATTTTAGTTCTTATGGCAAATAATATTGCATAGTATGTAACTTTATAATTTTAATAAAAGTACATAAACCCCATTATTTTTTGGGCTAATCAATAGCTAAAAATAGAAATCATGTGTCACAGCGTAATCGTTTTGTGAATTTTGTTATAACTCTCCAAAAAAAACAAAAAAAAATTCATCCGAATACATATTCCACAATGCAAGCCAATCACTCGCGAAGATTTTGAATTTTGCAAAATGGATAATTTTGCATTTACTAATTGCTAGTCTAACTACGTTATGATTTTACAATATATTGCTTCAATGTTACTAGTTTTTTCTTTTAACATTGTTAAAACATCTACAATGGTAAATCTATAATATTATTTAAAAATATTGACACCGTAGTCGCTACATACCCTAAAAAAATTCACTATAAGGCTGATGGGAGTGGGCATACTATGAGGCTCGCCAAAGAAGTGCTAGAGGTGCTAATCACCACCCCCATCAAAATGCTAACAGCCATGCTAAGAAAGGCTCGCTATAAGCTTAACGTGAGGAGAGAGGAGAGATAAACATAAATATCCAAGTTTTTCCTTTTTTTTTAAATTTCTTTACTAAAATAAAACTCATTAAACTAACAAACTACCACTCCCTATCTTTTTACACTTTGGATGCTAACACTCTTCCAAATCTATGTGGCTTAAAAAAATATGATGTGGCATAAAAAAATATGATGCGGTAACATGCTAAGCATGTTACCACTCCCTTTAGCTTAAGTGTATTCATGTGTATGTCAGTCGTCAAGTGCTCTTGATGTGGTTATCTTTTAAAAACATTTACTTGCAGAATTTGGTTCCAAAATATAATCATAGGTTTTAAAATTTAAATTTGAATTAGGTACAGGAGTGGTCAACGTAGTATCATCAAAAAAGTTTAGGGATATATACACTAAAGTCTCAATATTTTCAACGATTTAACAAGAAAATTCTAAATTTTAATTTTTTTACAGTAAAGTCCTAACTACCGTTAGTTTTTGACACGCTTACCCTTTTTTCCGATTAGCCTCTTGATGTGGTTATCTTTTAAAAACATTTACTTGCAGAATTTGGTCCCAAAATATAATCATAGGTTTTAAAATTTAAATTTGAATTAGGTATAGGAGTGGTCAACGTAGTATCATCAAAAAGTTTAGGGATATATACACTAAAGTCCCAATATTTTCAACGATTTGACAAGAAAATCTTAAATTTTAATTTTTTTACAGTAAAGTCCTAACTACCGGTAGTTTTTGACACGCTTACCCTTTTTTCTGATTAGCCGGTAATTCAATGGCGTGGTCAAGATTTTGTTTTAGGGTTGACCAAATAATATACAAAATATGAACGAGTGACAAAATTCTCAAACGATAACAAAATGTTACTATATATGCATTCTTAACTAAATTGTTAATTTTAAGTTGCACACGATGTTGTTTTACATCATTAGAATAATCTAAAATAGAGTCTAATCGACATAGAGAACAATGTATTCTCTTCTACTAATTTCAAGTTTTGAATGGAATAGGTCATATCACAACCATGATTCCTTTTATTTAACATATATATATATATATATATATATATATATATATATATATATATATATATATATAATATATATATATATATATATATATATATATATATATATATATATATAACCTTAATTTTGTGTGTGTGGGCCAAGGCCCACTCTTATCTTATATTGGCTACGTCCCTGCGGTAATTAGGAATTTACCGTAAAAAATATAAAGTTTATCACTTTCTTGTCAAATTGTGAACTAGGACTTTACTGGAAAAAAAAGAACTTTAAGACTTTATTGTCAAATCGTTGAAAATATTGGGACTTTAGTGTATATATCCATTTTTTTCTGTTAGAAATTTAATGGTATGATAGTCTTTAAGCATAAGAGTTATTGGAATCTGCTCTGGTCAGCTAGATCCTATTGAAATCCTTAACGTTTGCTTATTGTTAAATAAAATTTTTTTAATCTCAACAAACCAATATTGAAAAAAATGGAGATAATCAAGAAAGAATTAAAGAACTAGTGTTACGTTGGCTTTTTGTGGTCCTACAAATGGAGAACTAAGAAATCGGAAAAGATGAAACGGCCCTCCTTATCCATTCTCTACATTCACAGCCTTTTCACTAGGCGTGTGTTGTTTGTGTTTGTACAATATGACCCCTCTTTTCAGTTCAAGATTTGACGGTGAACCAGGAAGAAAGCTTTACAAGTCTTCTCACCTTCCCTCGCTCTCTCTTTTGCATCGGTTTCCTCTGATCGTGATTGTAGCAGGGTAAAGATGATGATGGTAAGAAAAACAATGGTGTTACGACGAAAATCATAATTAAAAGTTCTTGGGCTACGAATTGGGTCTCACCAAGCTGATAAAATTATTTGTTTCTAGGAAAACCAAGACTATGCACTAAAGTCCCAATATTTTCAACGATTTGACAAGAAAGTCCTAAACTTTATTTTTTTGACAGTAAAGTCCTAATTACCGGCTAACCGACAAAAAATGGTAAGCGTGTCAAAAACTGCCGGTAGTTAGGACTTTACTGTAAAAAAAAAATAAAGTTTAGGATTTTCTTGTCAAATCATTGAAAATATTGGGACTTTAGTGTATATATCCCAAATGTTTAAGATAAATCATACGCTAAATTTTTGATTTTGTTGATATGTGAACTGTTAGAAAGCATGCTAGTGGATAATCTAGGGTTCTTATAGGGACCATTGGATACAAGTGCATGATTTCGGTGATGCCTTATGATTTAGGGAATTGCTTGCTATATTTTACTTGATTGTGTGATTGTTGCATGTATGTTGATTAGTTGTTTATCTTCGGGATTGAATAGCCTTAGAATGATCGTATTAGCCTTATTTCTCATTCCTTGTTTGGTTGTGGATGTAGGTAGAGTCGATTATTCGACAGTCTATCTGACCCCGTATTGTGTGCAAGAAGCATGCACAGAAGCAACCAGTGGTGTGGGAGCAAGGATAATCCTAGAAAGAGTGTGTAACCCCCTGATTCTCAGGTATCGATTGTATATAAGAATTTCTTTGATTTCAAGGTCTAATTGACGAGTTGGTTGCCCTACTCTTCGAGTAGCAGCAGGTTGGTCCACGTATTTTAGTGACCTACTCGCCGAGTCCAATAAGGGACTCGACGAGTAGGAGCTGGCAGATGAAACCCTAAATCCTGGGGTGTTGCCCCCTATTTAAAGGATCATTGGCCTTCCCAGCCTCCCCTCTTCAGCCTCTTGTCATTCCAAAACCCTAAATTCGTGTGTGTGTGCTTTCTTGGTGTGTTAAGCTTTGAAGAAGGATTTTGGTCAGCAAAGCTTGGGCAAAGCAAGTGATTAGAAGCAAGGAACCCGTGGGGAATCAGAGATCTACTTCAGTGGGAACCCTTTTTGGAGGTATTAAGCTGTTATCTTGGTTCATTCTTCCTAGGTCTCTTTTTGGTGGGTTTTTAGGAAGACTTTCTTGTGTTGAGCTAAGATCTGAAGTTGCAACTTCAGATCCGAGCTCTCTTCGGCCTCCAAGTCCATAAAGTTGTTAGCTTTGGCAAGTATGAACCTCCCCTCATGTGTAAAACTCATTTGCAATCTTAGTTTTGTCATTCTAAGGCTTTAGAGATTTGCATGCACGTAAAGTTTGCAACTTTACGTGATAAACGTGCCCTAGGAGCTTAGATATGCAATGTGGAGCCTTTGCATGGCTTAAAAAGTACTTGTATGGATGAAGGACTGAAGGGACTCGACGAGTTGCACAGTCAACTCGGCGAGCCACATGAAGATGGTCCTGTACTCGACGAGTTGGATGAACAACTTGGTGAGTCCGATGAAGATTGTTGTAGACCCGGCGAGTCGGTAGAGTGACTCGGCGAGTCGGTTAGGGTTCTTCCCAGCCATTGGATGCGTGTGAACTTGTCGAGTTGCAAAGGGGAAAAGCTCGACGAGTGGCTAAGGAGATTCGACCGCAAGTCTTAGGAACTCGACAAGTCACTCTGGTGACTCGGCGAGTGGACTAATATTACAAGAAACTCGGCGAGTGGTTGATTGCACTCGACGAGTTCAGGTCAACATGGACTGTTGACCTTGACAGTTGACCTTGACTTTGACCATGGGTTGACCCTTAGACTTCTGGGGGCATATTGGGAAGTTATAAACATGTTTTATGGCAAATATAGGTGGTGGAGTTTTTGGCAGTGATTAGAGAGTTTGAGCTTACCTTTCGAGTTGGCATTTGCGATGTGAGTTATCCTCACTATACTAAGGGGTCTAAGGCACCAAGGCTTGCCCA